TTTCCCCCTATTTGCCTGACAATTTGGAGATGGGAGGCTCTTGCTGGCAACACAAAATTGGGAGAAATAAGTCCATCTGCTATTACTCCTTGGAGTTATGCTAACATTAAGAGTCTCCGTGACCAAACAGCCCTGACCTGTCTTCGGATAAGTCATATTCGACTAACCCACGGACGTCTCATGTCCAGAAAGGTTAAACCATATTATGAAGATTGCCTAGTCCCCCATGTTTGTGCAACACTTGCTGGTCGAGTGCCCTAGTATTAGAGATCTGCGAAAAAGGCATCTGTCCATCTGCCGGAAGCAGGATGGTACCTTCCACCTCTCTCTGATTCTGGGAGAAAGCCTAACAGCTGGACATGAGGTCCTAGTTTTTATGAGTGAAGCTGGTCTTCTCATTAAGATATGATTAAGTGCATTATTCTACTATTTTGACAAAAAAAAAATATTTTTCATTTATTTATTTATTTCATTACCCTTGATTTACAGTTGCAATTAATAATTCAGTGCCATATGACCATGATGTTGTGGCACCAGGTGTGATTTTGACTAATCAGCCAATCAGTCAATCAAACTCCAGCATGCTGTACTGCAGTTTTTGATGGTGTGTGGTTATTAAAGGTGGTTTCTGTTCACTCGTCCTGATTAAGGAGATGGATGACTCAATATTATCATTCTTTACAGTACAGACATGTTCACCGGAGACAAAATCCCCGACTCCATGTCACAAACTTTATTCAGCAATCTTGGTTGCTAAGACTGGGCATGCCCTTCAGACACTGTCCAAGGGAAGGATTGATGAGAGGATCTGCCCCCCGACACCCCCTGGCAAACATTGTTTTTACCTCATGGCTATATAGAGCTGATTACTTTGGAGCAATAGATGGACTTAAGGTCTGAGCTGCACTTTATGCAATATTTTCCCATATTTGTAACATTATCTGCAGATCATTACTTGTACCAACAACTGAAACCATTTGTTCTCTACAAAAATATAATTGTCAGGCTGCCCTAACCTTGTGCATCTGATTTATATTTTCTTCATTATGCTACATATTTTTGTTTTTTGTTTTGATTATTTACAATTACATATTTGTGAAACCAGCATTATAAGATCATATGGTAGACACATGAAAAACAGTTAAAAGAAAAATTATGTGTTTGAATTTTGTCTTTTACTTCTTTTTCTTGTAATTTTCAGATTATTATTACCAAACTGACATCTTTCCTCCTTTTTGGGGGGTCATCATAAATCAATTTCATTTTATAGCTTTACTTATAGACCATGACTATTTAGAGATCTTAGTTACTTTCTGAGGTGTATGAAATTATGACTTGATCTTTTTAATGGATATTCTTGAAAAATTCAAATATATCTTTGTCCTTCCAGAATGTCCCCCCACGGGAAAAGGGGCAAAGGGGTATAGACTCCTTTTTTAAGAGCCCAAAAGCATCTCCTGTAGTCAAGGACAAGAAAGATCTGTTTTCATATTTCAAGAAAGTAAACAGCAGTCCAGACCACTTAAATGGAACAACTCAAAAGGAGAGCAAAGAAGAGGAAGGATTGGAATTGTATGTTGTCGAGAAGGAAAAGGAGGATAATGAAATATCTGGAAATGAGAGTGAAGTTGCCATATCAATTGATGTGGAGAGTGAAGGAAGTGATACAGAAATGGATGAGCAAACATCCTCCCAGACAGATGGGTCATCCACGGAAAATTCCACAGAGGAGGGGTCTAGTGCATCCATGTCCGAAGATGAACCAGAGGTGGTAGAGGTAGTAAGGGAGAAAGTCGGCAAGAGCAGTGAAAAAAATACAGAAGGATTGAGTTCCGGGAAACAGAACATCTTTGCATTCATGATGGCTAACAGAAGTAAACAAAATGAAGTGTTGAAGGAAATGAGAGAAGAGGAGGAATCTGTTGAAAAGGACAGTTCAGAAACATTGCCAAATAAAAAAGGTGTTATTAGTAATAGTGAGGAGGAAGAATGTGAAGGCAAGAAGAGTAAAAAGTTAAATGAATCAAATGATACTGTGCATACTACTGTAGTTGAAAATGATAGAAAGAAGAAAATAAGGAAAGAGAAACGGAACAGGAAATCTGTCGGTAAAAATGTGCAATTGACAGAGACTGAATCATCATCAGAAAGCTGTGAAGAACTTGAAGTAGTCTTCCAGAAAAATGATGATACTTGTGAGAGTGACTCCCACACCCCTGCTGTAGCAACCAAACCCAAACTTAATAAAGTGTCTGCATCATACTCTGGTGGAAATGCTTTTGCTTTTATGATGGCAAATAGACACAAGCAGGAAAAAGCACTTTCAGAGAATGAATCAGGAAAAGGAGAGACCAGTGAGGGTGACAATAGTGAAAACTCAAATGCTCCCACAGACATTACAGAGAAGAAGAAGAACAGAGGAAGGGGTAGAAAGAAAAAGCAAGAGGATTTAGATTCATCACTGGCTGATTTTGAGGTTTCAGAGAAAGAGGAACCAAAGAAGATTAGTAAGGTAAGGAAAATTGTAAGGAAGAAGAAAACAGATATTGCAGTTTCTGAGAAATCAAATCCTCCAGTTCAGACATCTGAAGTAAAAACAGAAGAAGGAGTCAGACAACCCAAGATTCCAACTCAGACAACTGAAACCAAAATACAAGAAAAGGACACCGTAAAAATTGCAGAGACTGTCTGTAAAAACATTTCCGAAGCTACAAGAACTGATGGGTCAGAAAGGAACACTGATAACATTGCAATGTCAGGTGCAGACCAGAAATGTCAGACAAGTATTAAGAATGAAAAAGATGCACCTGAAAAGAAATCTCTTAGTGAGACTGCAGAATATGAAGACAACAATATTAGGCAAAAGAATGGTAACATAAAAGCTCCTAAGGCTAAGAAAGGTAGAGTAGTAGCAGCGAAAAGGAAAAAACAGAAAATTGATACTCAAAATATAGTAGTAAAAGACAAATCAGAACAAGGAACAAACAATATGGCTGAGATCCCTGTAGAAAAAAATGTTACGGCTGAGATCCCTGTAGAAAAAAATATTAAAGCTGAGATCCCTGTGGAAAAAAATGTTATGGCTGAGATCCCTGTTGAAAAGAATGCTACAGAAGAAAGACCAATCAAATCGGAGAAAATAAAAAAGGAGAAAGGGGTTAAAAACAAGAAAAATATAGCTGCAGTGGAAGTTTCCAGTATGGAAAAAGATGAAACTGCAGAAGCTGTGGAACCACCCAGAAAGAGAAGAAGGAAAAAAGTAGACTATGTAGTAGACTCTGATGAAGAAGAAGTAGTCATTAATCATCAAACAAACCACAAAGTTAATCCTGAGAAAACAGGAGACAAAGAGGACACTATAACTGATGCTGACACAGAAAATAGTTCAAAGAAGAGAAACATATCAACCTTCTTCAAAAAAATCTCCAAAGAAGAGAAGGCGGCTGAGAGAAGCAAGAACATTTTTACAGTCAAGGCTGACGTTCATGCTCCCTGTGATGGAAAGCTAGAATCCAGCCAAGTGGAACAGGCAGCAAAGAGAAAGAATTTGCAAAGTAATGAAACTGCTGAGAAAGAGAATGTCAGTAGCATCCCCAAAGACAAAAAGAATGATAGAAGAATCAGTAGAAGGATAAAGAAAAGACAAGAACTTGAGGAGCTAAACAAGATAGAATTACTTGAGCAGATTACGCCAACTAACTCGCCTGTTAAGTTACCAGCACAGAATTTAAGAGAGATTAATATAACAAGTAACAATTTATCAAAGGAAAGTGGGATGGGCACGATCACTGAGACAGCAGTAGTGGAGAGTAAAACCTCTGAAACGAAGAATAACAATATTGCAAAGAAAGTAAGAAATAAGGCAAATAAGAGAATATTACAAGAAGAGGAAAATGATTGTGCCAAAATAGAAGAGAGTAAGAATGGAGATGAGGCTAATATTCCCCTGCAAGATCTTCCTTTAAATGAAGAAAACACAGAAAAGAAGGAACCTGCAAAGAAGTCTAGAAGAAGATTGTCAAGGAAGGCAGTCATTGAACCTCCAGTTGTAGTGGATCAAGCTGATCTCTCAAAAGAGAATGATTTACCTAAGTCGATAGTAGAAAGTACAGAAAATCCATCCTCAAAGGTGGATACCACAGGGGATGAGATCTTTCCTAAAAGTACCAGAGCTACCAGAGCCAGGGGTGTAAACAAATCAGCGCAAGATAGTACTGACACTGATACAAGCATAGGGTCCAGGAAGAGATCGCCAAGAACAAGAAATAACCTGTTATCGGATTCCATGGAGAGTGAGGATGATAAGGAGAATGTTGTTCACTATACATCTACACTCATTCATAAACCTGGGAAACTGAGGTTAGTATTATATTTAATGATAGTTTGTGTATGTGTGTGTTTGTAGGTGAATCAAACACACCTTAAATATAATTTAAGTTTTTACATAGCTATTGTTCACTTGTATTAAGAATGGTGAGCTAGATTATGTTTTAAATAGCAGTAGTTTCTTACCAAATTTAATATTGCACGTCATTTACGTATGAAACAATGATGATATACAGAAGCCCAGAATGTTTTCCCTTAGAGTTGAGTGTTCTTCACTCCTTTTTGGTTGAGACATCATGATAGTTGACACTTTGATCGCTGATTTTCTTTTAATATTTTGTGTAGACTTTTTTCATCTTTTGTTTTCTAATTAAATGTTTCTGTGTATATATATTCCAGCCTGAGATTGAAGAAAGTTCAACCATCTTTGAAGACCAAGACCAAAGGAAGAAAATCTTTAAGCCTAAAGCACAATAACGTAGCTGAGAGTTGCCCTGTGAAGGCCAAAGCTCGTGAACTTGTTCAAAAGGCTAAACTAGCCAAAAGGAGTCCCAAGGGAAAAGTGAAGAGACTGAGCATGAGTAGAACCAAAAAGAAAGCTCTGAGCAATCATGTTGTGAAGAAGATAGTTGAACAGAATGTGGTACAAGTTAATATGGTACAAACTGATAATGATGATGTGGTCCTTATTGATGATGAAGCTTCACCAGTCAAGCCAACAAAAAAGAAAAAGCAGATGCTTCTCAAGCCTCCAACTGCATCAACTCCCAAGACAAAACTAGTAAAAAGGAAAGTTATTAGAAGTAAAAAAGCAAATCAAAAGGAACCAGATGAGGTCGAGGTTCTGGAAAGCTCTGCTGGCGAGTCTTCAAGGAGATCCTCACGGCAAGCAGCAGCAAATGCAAAGAAAATGATAGAAGAGCAGCAGGAAGTTGAAGAAGAAGTAATAGTTGAGAAGACCAAGAAGGCTGAGAAAGAGAAACCTGTGAAAGGTAATTACTTTTATGATATTTCTGTGTTGGAATATTTTGCAGTATACAGGTATTGTATAAAAAGAAGAAAAAGACAAAAGATGTTATAATGTCATTCTTATTGCTTCGCAGAATCCAAGCTTGCACCAATATTTTGTAAGAAGAAGGTTGTAGAACTCTCACCTTCAAAACTGAAAGCTCGACAAGACTTCCTACAGTCCGGTGTACCTGATCAGATCAAGAAGCAAGTGTTGATTGAGAAGAGGTAAAGTGGTTATTATTATATTTGTCTCTGTCCTAACAGATATTGTTAGTTGTATTCATGCTTATACTACTTGGTTGTAATAAATGACTCAGTCTTGAATGTATAACCATAGACATTCATATTTTCCTTGCTTTGTTGCAGTCAGGAGGACGAAGTCAGTGAGTGGCCACCATTCCCAGCTGTCAGTCATGTCCAACAGAAGAGTGATACAGATAGTGTTTGGAGTCTTGTCTCTCCAAATGTGAGTATAGATCGCAGTTTTTAGGGGTAGGCCCATGTGGTAATAGGTGTATGGATATGTGTCATAAGTGTGCCACTGAGAAAGTGATATGTTGTGTTATGAGATGTTACTGGAAGATGCCTTGGTTAAAGTTTGTGATAACGTATATGAAGAAAAGGGTTTCTCAGTTATTGTTTAATTGTACTGTTACTAAAATAGAAGTTTATGTACTTTTGATTAGAATTGCTTACCTATGTTCATTCACAATAAGTAACCTGCTCCAGGTAGCCCAGTATAAATCCTGTATTGAAAGATTGTCAATAATCTAAACCATTAACACAAAACTGATACCACATTAGCAACTATAAATTGATGGCATTAACTCTGTGCTCAAGATAGTTTTTAATTTGGGTCAGGTCAAAAGTATTAGTAGTATGTATTATTATTTTTTTAGGCTTTCCTTAAAATTAATTAACATCTTTTCAGATTGAGAAGCTGAGAGAAACAAATGAAAGGGATTCCTCATTAGTGCCACTGGAAACAAAAATATATAGCACTGATATGATGTCTAAATTAAACAAAGATAAATCTAGTACAAAATTGGGAGTAGGTAATAATCCAACACTGGACCTAGCAAGCATTGTTGCAATCCTTCTCAGCCTAAAGAAGGAAAACCCCTACTTTCCTGCCTTTTCAGTCTTCAAATCTTACCTAGACTTGAAGAAGGATGCTGTAGATTTGTATAAAAAAGAATTAGAAAAGGAAGAATCCAAGATTAAGGTAATAGACCTGGAAGAAGAAGAAGAAGAGGCCAAGAGAGGAAAGCGGAAGAGAAGAAGCAAGGGGTCAGGAGGAAGCAAACGATCAAGACTAAGTGGAGCAAAAGGGAAAAAGAAGGCAGCCGAGGAAATGGGTGAAGATCAAGACACTTCACTTCCCTTGTGGCAGGAGAGAATTCCACATGCATGGACACAAGTTTTCACACCCAAACATACCAATCAGGTCATCGGTAATACAGGTAAGGTCAATCTTATTTAAGTTTGATGTATAGAGATACAAATCAGAAAATATTTGTGGGATTGGGAGTGGGAAGTCATATAGACAGATAGGTACACAGATAGATGATCATATACATTTAAATGAACTGCATATCATATATTTAGACAGTTTTGGGGAAAAAATGCGATTGTAATAGAGCTGATTGATTCTAACACATGGCCATAGCGACTTGCCTTCTCATAGTGCCTGTAAAGGTAGAGATCGTAACATGCCTCTAATTATATCATTATGCAAAAACTTTCTGAATGACTTATTGTTCACCTATTTTATATATATATATATATATATATATATATTATATATATATATATATATATATATATATATATATATATATATATAAAGTAATTGCAAAAGCACAAGTTTTGAGATATACACTGTATGCATATATAACTTGTCGATGGTTAATGAAATGTCTATCACCAGGTCATATCAGAAAAATGAAGATGTGGCTGCAGGAGTGGAAAAGGAAGTCAGAGATATATGCTAATAAAGAGAAGAATGGGAAAAAGAAGAAAACATTTAGAAAAGGTAACTTACTTGCCCTCTTCCTCCTCCACCTCTTTGTCCTTCTCCTCTTCGACCTCCATCTCCTCCTCTTCTTCCCCATTCTCCTCCGTCTCTTCCTCCTCTCCATCTTCCTCCTCCTCCTCCACTTCCTCGTCCCCGTCCCCCTCCTCATACCTCTCTGCTTCCTTCCTTAAGCTATTGCTATTGTAAAAGCTGAATTCTCCTCCTCTTCATTTTCAATCTTTATTAAGTATTCATATTTTTATATATATATTATATGTATATTTTTTCTTCTTCTTCTTCTTTCTTTCTTTCTTTCTTTCTTTCTTTCTTTCTTTTTTTCTTTCTTTCTTACTTTCTTTTGAGAGTAAAAAATATATATCTAACTGAAATGTTTTTTCAGATGACGACTTCCTGGTATCAGATGATTCCAGCAGTTTTGGCGATGACGACTTTGTTAACACATTTTTGTTGTCTGGACCTCCTGGTATCGGCAAGACCTCAGCTGTCTATGCCCTTGCTACCGAGCTTGGTTACAAGGTAAATTAATCCTGGGACTATTGGATATGATAAATGGCTGTCTTAATGTTGTTATTATCACTATTATTATTATTTATTTGTTGTGGTTTTGTTTGTTGTTAAAGATGTATTTAAAGTCAGAGGCATTTAATGATTGAAATAATTATGGATTATTGATTCTCAGCAAACTTTGATTCAGTAAAATCTTGTCATTTAGTGATTTAGAAATTTTTTTCTTTTCATTTTAGTATTTCATAGTCACAAGTACTGTGGAAATAAAAAATTGGTGCTGTCATTATTGACATTTCAGTAAAATTTAGTTATTATTGATTGATATTATATCACTCTTATTATATAGTTTTTTCATTCCACTTGATTCCCTTATCTTTTTTGATATAAGAAAATTAATTGATTAAGAACCCATTGCTGTAGGTTACATGTACTGTCCACCATAAGTTTCTTTTGTGAATTTTGTTTGCACATAAATGGCTCCACAAGTGCATAGCCACAAGGATCCAAGTAGCGGGCCTCCGTGACCTTACCTGGTATCCCTTTTCAATGAGCTTTTTGGATTTTTTGTCTCCTTTTCTAATACTATTGACACTGATGCTGATATCATTATTAATTTTATGATTCTTATGTTATTAACAGTAGTAATAAAAATAAAAGATAAAGGAAAAATCTTCCTGAAAGTGGAGGATAAACAGGTGATATAGGTAGGACTAAAAATTTACTTCTTGATGACTGAACACCATAGGAGCCATCTATGTGTATACACAGTTAATAAAATAGAATTGCATTTGGCATGGCATGAATTTTTGCTATTCTGGCATCATTGGGTTATAAAAATGAAGATTTAAAAAAAAATCAATGGGAACCCTAATAGTGTAATCTTTCACCAGGTGCTGGAGGTAAATGCATCCTCAAGACGACAGGGAAGACAAGTCATGACTCAGCTGGCTGAGGCCACGCAATCTCACTCGGTGTCTAGTAAAACGTCCCAACAGCCTGCCAACACCTTGACAGCCATGTTTGCTGCTAAGGCAACTAATACTAAGCCTTCTCCAAAGAAAGGTGGGTTTTTCTACTATTTTGAATTGTTAAAGTTAATTTTGATTTATGTGGCTAACCTTTGTACTTTATATTATTGTTGATTGGTTTCATCCTGGAATGAATCTTTGCAAATTAAAAGCTTAGGTTTACAGTCTAGTAATATTATTGCATGTTAAAAGCTATTTACCTACATAATGATACTGTGTAACTATATTGTTTTTTTAATATTGTTTACAGTAAACCTCCATGAAGAAAGCCAGAACTCCAACAAAGATTTAGAGAGCAAAAAGAAAGTAGCACTTGTCTTGTTTGAAGATGTAAGTATTGTCAGATCAAAGTATTACATGAAATTGATAGACCAGTAAATAGATCAGTAATGGTTGTAAATAAATTGGTAAGGATTTGGTGTGAATTGTTGTATAATTTTGGGTTCCTCTTTTGATAGAGATTCTTTGAGGAAGACTTGCATTGCATAGAAAAGTAACTAACTCTATTTTTTATCAAGTATTTTTATACATTTTTCCTCCCCTTTTTTTAACTAATTTTTACTTTACCCCTTTTTGCAGATTGATATTGTTTTTGAAGAATGGGATGAAGGTTTTATCACAACAGTCAATAATTTCATGGCCACTAGCAAGAGACCAATTATCTTGACCGTCAGTGACTCATCACCAAATGTGCTTGCCAAAATAAAAGGAAATTATGAAAAATTAGACTTTGCATCCCCTCCAGAGGACCTTATAGGTATGTTTAAGGAATTAATATACTTGTTTATTTTTTGTTACTGTTATTATTCACAACATTGTCACCATTATATGTGAATATCTCTTTATTCTTACTTCATCATGATTAGCTTCATCATAAAATGTCAAATGAATCCTCTAATGATTTTAATTTGTCTACAGCACATCACCTACAATTGGTCTGCCTTGCAAATGGCCACCATATATGTTTAAAAGATGTACAAACTCTTGTTCATGTCAACAAAGGGGATGTCCGACAGTCATTACATGATCTTCAGCTTTGGACGATATCTGGATCATCATTCCAGACATGTGATTGTCTGGAAAATAGTCAAAAGGTTTGTCTTTATTTTTTCTTTAAAGTGTGAGATATTATCATATGATGAATATGTATGTAACAGTCTTGACTTTTAGTGAAAATAAGATCAAAAATATATATATATTGTAAGATTGATATATGGGTAGGTAAACAGATAGTATAAAATAATGAGGATAGTTATTTAAACCAAATTACAGTCTCCAGAAAACCAGCATGTAATGATTCTTATATGTTATATGATAAAACAAGTAAACTATTGTTGACTTCTTCCTTTCATTCTTTTTAGCTGTCCATACCTCTCTTCATCTTTTTCTTCTCTACTATCTGAAAGCAGGCCTACTATTTTGAATATACATTAAATTTACTTATTTGTACTCCTCTTTTATTTTCAGGATAATTCTGAGACAAACAATGAGGAAAAGCATAGTAATTCTTCTAAAATTGTGAAAGATTTAAGTCTTGCTGACATATTCCCAGATGCAGATCAGTTAGACACTTCAAATGTTGAATTGTACAAGTCTGGGTTATGGGGAAAAAGTAAAGGAAGTGCAGCATTTGAAAGCAAAGCAGTTCTCCATTGTGATAGAAGAAAAATTACTCTGGAAAAACAGCAGGAGTCTGAAGGGAACATCTGCTGGTCCCAGATTTCAAGCAACCTCCCCTTACTCCTCCCTCTTCCTCTCACCGAGACAGAGGAGACAAAACCCAAGTATCCTCTCCAGCCTGACGACCCCCTCCTCAAGACCACTCCTCTGTGGCAGAGACACAGCTGGCTCTCAATTGATGAAGATGAAGAAGAGTCGGAACAGCAGCCTGTGACTGAAGAGAAGAAGGAGAAGGAGGAGGTGGAGGAGGAGAAGGAAGTAAAAGAAAATGCTCAAAAAATTCCTCCCAATATACAGAAATCATCCAGACAGTGTTTAGAGTCGATGGCCCATCTTTATGACACAATTGCCCAGCTGGATGTCCTTGATTCATCTCAGTTTGAAACTTATTCTGGAAAGGGGATAGAGGAACGCGGATGGTGGACAAGACAGCCCATGGCAGGCCTTAGTGACGAACAAGATAACTGTGATCTTCCCTGGGCAGCTCATAACTTGACTAATGAACTCGTCCAGTTCATAGGCCAGAGAGCTGTGAAATATTGTCATGAAGAATTATCAGCTGCACTACCCAAAGATTCAGTAACAGAGTGGCCGCAGTTGTCTCTCAAGATCCATAATGATATGAGGTTACCAAGCCTGATACCACATAAGTCCAAAGCCAACAGGTATATATTTGTAGCATTTATTAATGAGCCTAGGTGTATACTGATTGACATATTGTTCATTGTTTAGAATGGTAACATTGTAGAGTGAATGCTTTTTTGTAATACATTTTCTTTCTTTCATTTCAGCCTCAGACAAGAACATCAACGTATAGCAGCATCCATAACTAAATGTCTGCCAGCTGTGAACTATCTTAACAAAAACACATCCATGGACCACTTATCCTGTATACGAAGCCTCATTAGATATGATGAGCTTAGTGCTGCAATAAGTAAAAACAGAAGAGGAAGAAGATTTTTAAGCAATGTTGCACACTTAGGCATTGATTTATCAGCTGAGGAAAAATTAAAAACAGCCAATGCACTATTGAGCTAGCTAGACTTGTGAATCTTTTTACACATTGTAATTATAATTTTTTTACTGTAGCCATTTATTTTCTATTTATAAAATATCTATGCAAGTAAATGAAAGTTTAAAAATTCAGATAAAGTTTTAAATATTTTAAGAAATATTGAGAGGTTATTTTAGGTACATATTCACATTTGTGTCATTGCATCTCATATTTTTATAATCATTGTATCATTATTTTATAAAGTCGTATCATGGAAAATAGTAAAATTTTATAATATATAATCTGATAGTTTCTTTGCTAAAACCAGTTCTTATTTATTAGTAGTCAAATAATTTAATGGTATGTCACCAAGTGACCTTATTAGATATCTATTTAATACCAGTTGAAAAATCTGGACTGTCCTATCGTATAACAACTATGCAAAAGCCTAATTTTTTATACATGTCAAATGTAATCTTTACTGTTTTCATTTTCATTTTTCTGCAGCTCATTCTTCTTTTGTATCTCATATTAACTTCACCTCCCACCATTCACTAATCATATATGCCATTGTTGATTAGTAAGTCCGTGCCTGCCTCACAGTGCTAAAGTCCGATACTCGCATCCCCAAGCAGTTAGGACGGGCATCTAATCAGGGCAAAGGTATCCATAATCTGATTAAAGGAGTCTCCAGGCATAGACAAGATCGTTACCATCTGCATGTTTAAATTTCTCTCTCCTTTCCTTTTCATTTTATGTTTTTAATCTTTCACCTGCTACTTGTTTCAAGGTGAGTTCTTGCTATCATGTATCTTTCCCTTTTCTTCTATCCACTCTTTATATATCTATAAATGATGTTTTTGGTTTCTTTATCTTGGCTTGAGCAGGATATGAATATGATACAACTTTATTAATGATTTATTTATATATTTATTTCCAAGAAATGAAACATTTGTTTGGAGGTCAGTCTGACTGCTTTTCATACAAGATTGACTCTTAACTAGTGTATTTTGTAGCAGCAGTTTTTGGAAATCCATTGCCAAAAGGATTCGTTAATTTTGTGGGATGAATCAATAATCTGTATTTTCACGCATTCAGACATGTCATATGTTTTAACAGTGACAGTTTTCATTAAATTGTGCAATAGTTTGTAAGATAATTGTATGAATGAGTTAAAAAAATTGTTTTGTTGTGAATTATGTATTTTAGTGTTTGCAGAAAAGTGGCCATCTTATGTATTAACTGTATTTTAAAGTCTTTTACATGAATTTTTATTTAAGTAATATCAGTTTTTACTTTTTTGGTTTAAATACATATAATATCTTAGGCCATGGGAATGTACAAATTCTTTTAATAAACCCGATTTTCAATACATTGTTGTGATTTATGAGACTTTATAGTATATATTGATACTGATACTAAACAAGCTTATTTAATCTAAGTACAAATGGTTTCAGACAACAGAATGTTTGTAAAGACGAGGGACTTTGATGAATGCCATCTTAAAGTACCCATTGCAGATAAAATGTAAATTGTGAACATTTATAAACAATGATTTGGTTACAGTTCATGGGATTATATATTTGAAAAATACACTAAAACTAAAAAAAATAGGTACATGGCAGTGAATAAATATTTACACAAACAGAATACAAATATACAAATAAAATATAATACAGCATCTAATCAAACAAAACTAAGCACAAGAACAAAGAAAAACTATACAGTGAGATATATATTTATAGGAAATATGATGGTTGAGAAAAGTAATTGCCGGACTATATATTGATATTTCCACTACATATCCGAGCTTTGCCTGTCAGCATACTTGTTAGGTGTTTCTTTAGGTGAAATTTAAAGCTCTTGATATTGGCTTTACTTTTATTTTCGTTGGGCAGATCATTATATAATTTGGCACCATTGTATCATATTACAGTGAGTGACGTGAGAGCATAAAAGGCAAGCGCAATTTGGACAGTATCCTTGATGCATACCAATTATATGGGCAAGTGAAATAGTTTTGATTATCAAGACTATGTAAATATTTGTAAACGAAGGTAGCACTTGATACATTGTTGATGTCAGAGTTTCAATGCATAACAAAGAATAGTACAGCAAAATTAATTAACTGATCCAGCGTGTCCCAATTAAGGAACAAAATGTGACATCTAGCTTGGCTGTTTTGTTCCTTACTGCTAAAATGTGATGCTACTGTAGATTTTGTATGTATTACGCTATAAATGGCAAGGGATATGTGCATTTTTTGTATCGATGTAATATCATGAAGTGGGACATTTTACATTCGTAGTTAACTTATTAACTATCAGCCAATTTGTGACGTATTGCAACTTTTTTGACAGTTAATTCGTGTGTGTGTGTATAGTTTGGCAAATAAACAGAGTACTTTCGTGGAATGAAATGTATCTTAATATTTTACTTGATTTCACTTTGTCATTGATATACAATAAAAACAATAATGGCCCAAAAATTGTCCCTTGGGGATAGTAGTTTGGATGATATTTGACCACTGTACTGGAACTACCAGGTAGATAACTGGGACACCTTGAGTGCGGTACTCCCCTGACATCGAAATCATCTAGCTTGTCAAGACGTAGCGAGTGGTTGATTGTATAGTGCCATGGCCTTCGACAGAGCAAGAAAGATGGTGAGTGTAAACTGCTCATTATCAAAGCGATCCAGTACATTAGTGATAACCGTTTCAATTAATCTTTTCGATCAAAAAAAGCTGGCTGTTCAAATATAGTGATATGATGGGTGAGATGGGTCATGGCTTGAAAACCGAACGCTCCATCCCGATGTACCGACCGCAAATAAACTACTTTCGCTTAATGATTTCACTTTGTCATTGATATACAATATAATGGCTTGTCAACACCACAGGTTTGGATGATATTTGACCACTGAGACAGAAGTACTGGGAACTACCAGGTAGATAACTGGGACACCTTGAGTGCGGTACTCCCCTGACATCGAAATCATCTAGCTTGTCAAGACGTATGGTTGATATAGTGCCATGGACAGAGCAAGAAAGATGGTGAGTGTAAACTGCTCATTATCAAAGCGATCCAGTACATGTCTAGTGAAAGACAGTAATGCCGTTTCAATTAATCTTTTCGATCAAAAAACAAGCTGGCTGTTCAAATATTTTGTCCAGTGATAAACCCCATGAGCCTTTCATGTATAACTCGTTCAATTAATTTACTTAAAGAAGGGAGAACTGAGATGGATTGAGAATTGCTTGGGTCGTTACATTGACCGAATTTGTGAACTGGTGTAATATTTGCAATTGTTAATGAGTTCGGCTTTCGTATTCCATTTGCTTTTCCCTCTCAACCTTTTTAAATACCATACTAACCTACAACGCTCTACAATATTTGACATCTAACATATTTCGTCCTAATCATTAACTCATTTTAACCTTTTCGCGACAATACTTAATCATACTGCTGTATATTTCCTTACCTGGGGGCTTTGTCCCGAAGCCTCATCCTATCGCTATATTCTGAATACGCCGCTAATTACAGTAAATGACGCTACAGATTATTTTCAATAAATAGCTGGTATATTACACCAACAAGAATGCTTTGCGGCTGTTGCCCAGTATCAGCAAACAAGGACTCGTTTAGGGGTGTCTGGATTGTTAGGTCGTTTCTGACTCTCTGCGTGAGGAGCGAACATACAATGATACTCCCCCCTTGTTGCGTGTCAAGTTGTTAATAATTTTGTCTCGTTAAATCGTAAAACATTAACATTTTCACACAAAAGTTATTTATATTCCTCAGTAAAATTATCACACTTCAGCGGTAAACTGTTAATATTTAGGCCCATTATTTCAAACATAAGAGACATTTGTGCGTCATTTAAGGTACTAATGGAAATTCATAATCATTATTCATCACTATGCACTGCAATTGAAATGTGAAGTTCATTTGCCCAACACGGTTCGCACATTAGCGACAGAGTCCACTTCTGAGTGTCGTCTTACCAGAGACGGTCCCATGTTTTCTGCTGCCCTGACTGTTCCAAGCAACCTTGGGGAATCGTTCACGGACATTGGCGATTGCGCTGGACGATTACTGGCGGGAGTCGTGGTTCATGTGGAGGGAGGTGGAGGGGTCGTAATGTAGTCCCGGTTGCTATTGGAGAGCATGTAAGGTATTTAATTTATAGTTGATGTTTTCGTTTATTAGAATATAATGGTGATCTATTAACACTATAGCACATACTATATTGGGTGGCATATAATAATTTTTTATTCTTTTATGACACAACATTGTATATGATGATTTTGGTGGTATAAGCATCCCCAAATCTCTTCCCCCCTCTCTCTCTTGTCTTCTCTCTCTCTCTCTCTCTCCCTCTTCCTCTCTCTCTCTCTCTCTCTCTCTCTCTCTCTCTCTCTCTCTCTCTCTCTCTCTCTCTCTCTCTCTCTCTCTCTCTCTCTCTCTCTCACTTTCTCTCTCTCTCTCCCTCTCCCTCTCCCTCTCCCTCTCCCTCTCCCCTCTCCCTCTCTCTCTCTCTCTCTCCCTCTCTCTCTCTCTCTCTCTCTCTCACTCTCTCTCTCCCTCTCCCTCTCTCCCTCTCCCTCTTCCTCTCCTCTCTCTCCCTCTCCCTCTCTCCCCTTCTCCCTCTCCCTCTCTCCCTCTCTCCTTCTCTGTCTTCCTCTCTCCCTCTCTGTCTCCCTCTCCCACCCCCCGTCTCTCCCCTCCTTTCTTATTACTACTATTCATTTTATTGTCAACCAACCCGCTGTACTACCTCATTCCTCACAACTCTCTCCTCATCCCGTCCTCGTCCTTCTACTACGTTCATCTCTGTAAATCTTTTGAGTATCCTGTTGAGCCCAACTGAGGTCAATGTTTTTTTTTTTTTTTTTTTTTTTTTAGGGGGGGGGATTTCTCCTACAGCCCTCTTACTTTAACAGTATCATCTTTCAGTCACTTACAAAAAATTATAAGTTGGCAACGTTTCCTTCCGTAGCCGTTCCGATCGTTCACGCCTTTTAAAAGTGATATCTATGTCACAAAATCGTGCACTATCTATCCTCGATTGACCTAACTGGTAAACCTATTCCATTCACCCTCTTATCTTTCTACTACCATATCTTCAACATTCAAAGTAACTACCGACATCCACCCATTCTCCTCTTCATGTTCTCTCTTCCCCTCTTCTTCCCACTCTCTCCCAGCCCGTCTGATCCTCCCCTTCTCCTAATATTTGTACCATCTCCCAGCTGATTGCCTTGTCTACAGCAAGGATTGGTCAGATTGTGAAAACGACTGCTTGCAACTGCATTAAAGTGCTACACTATTTCTAACAGAGGTCGCTGTGAATCCAACGCCAATAATTCCATAATTACCTTCTGTAGAAATCTCCCATGAAAATTCACATTGGCCCAGTCCGTCATTATCGGCCCCTTCCCCGTCAGTGTCAGAAATATTGGCGCTTTGGCCTCGTTGCCCTCGTGTGGCCGTTCAACTGTGCGCGTGTACCATGTGTTGTGGCGACCGTAATATACCTCTTAAGTGCTACCCTTAACCACCATTAACCATGCGAATCCGATGGAGGAACTTCGACTTCGTATGTGACCTATGTATTAAGCATAACAACGTCAATACTTCAGTTCTATTTTGCAAACTTTTTACTTGAATCACAATTTTGTATAAATTCGCATATCATGACATACAAACCTATGTATTAAGCAAAAAGAATGTCAACACCAGTTATAATTTGCAAATCTGTTTCTTGTATCACAATTTTGTTTAAATTCTTATACCATGGCATACAATCAACGCCGAAGCCGAGGCTCTAGCACAGCATTCGTAACATTTGCTGTAATGGTGATAGAAAACACGTTCGAACTTGAAAGAGCAGTTCTCGGATTCAAACTAGGCCTCACTCTGCGCCAGGCTAGACTAGAACCTATCCCAACGCTGTCCTTCGCTCCACCCCTTCTCCGTTCTTCCCAAGATCTTTCAGTATTTCTTTCCCCTTCCCTTTATCATCCTACCTCTACCCCCTCTCTCTCACCAGTCTCTACCTCTTCCCCTACCGCCCCTTCCCACACTACCCGTCTCACCAGGCTATCTCAGCGTTTCATCCCAAAATCCTACCATATTTCTCTCCCACACCCACCTCTTCCTCTGCTCCTCGGACCTCTGTCTCCACTTTTCTCCCCAAAAGAAAATATTCGTCTCTCAGACCCCGCCCTCCCCTAGGAACCCTGGAGTGCATCCAAAACTTCGTAAATACGACCCAAGAGAACGCTCCTCTTCTTACTTCTCTTCCTCCTCTTCCTCCTCTTCTTCCTTCCCTCCTCCTCTTCTTCCTCCCCCTCTTCTTCC